TGTTTCTGCTGGTGACTTTGGGCGACTTTGGTGACCTGAAAAAGAATGGAAAAATCTAAGTTAAATTCAAATTCAAATTATCTCAGAGTTCAACTCAAACGTGTTCTGGTCCATCTGTATCACTGTGACGCCAACTCATCGAATGAACTTTCTATGTTACAGGTGGCCAACATCTAGTCCAGACATATCCCTTTGGACAAGACCATTTTACTAAGACTGTACCATACAAATGAAATAAATAGTAGCATTACTGAAGTGACACTCTGATGATTTGCCTCCACTTTCCTCCACTAAAATCTACACACGACTACATATTTTTGGATCAAGTAATAAGCCGCATATGTGGAGTGAGCGAGCATAGAAGCAGTAAAAAGACATGACAAGGCACAAACCCAAAATAGAATTTTACCAAATATGACTGTATCGTATAATGTATTGATAATTTCTGTTAACATTACATAAAAAGTCAACTTACCAGATTCATTCCCGTGATCATGAGAAAAAGGGGCCATTTCTCATGCTGTGTACAGTGACGCCAACTCAGCATACATCGGGTGACAGCTAACGGCTGCTTAGCTGATGTCAAGCAGATGCAACTATTGGATGGTCTTCCTGCAACAGGGTAAAAGCAGAATTTTGGTCTACATATATCATGGGGACCATACCAACTCCTCCTCTGCATAACATTAACGTTTGTGCCATGCTTCAAAAGCAATGACTAAGACAAGCAGTGTTAACTCAACGTCAAATGTTCACAGGTGGAATATCATAAATATTTCTGTACTTTTAACTCTGTTTCCATATTATTTACTTTATATTTTTATCATACATTACAGAAAGAGAGCATTCAGTTGGCATGGACTAGAATATTTCTGCCTGTCTTTGAGCAGAAAAAAGGGCAAAATCAAAGAAGAGATAAAAGAAAAATATGAATCTAAACACATCATAATTAATATTTGTAAGATTTCATGAAAATAAATAAAGTAAAACTAAGCAAAATTGTAAGCCCTCATTTCTTCCAGTCTTGATTCATTTTGTCTTCCATTCCCTTTCTCAAACAGTAGTACAGCAGAAAGGTTAAAGACATTGGGGCTTCAGAATTTAATTATGCTAACTCACTAAACATGAACAAAAAATTAGAATCCCACTTGAAAAACTCAAAAATTTTGGGGACTGTATCTGAGATTAATGGCAGTTATTCCATAAAGACAGAAAATGAGTAAATGAGTAAATAATTTGAAAACATCCTCACATTACTTATTAAGAATAATTATTTCCCTCCGTACCTCTGCATCTTTATCACGAGGAGAAGCATGAGCTAGAGCTGTGAGGGTGACGGAATGAAGAGGAGGGCTACAACTACTCTCAATGGCCTTAGTTACATTCACTGCACGAACTTTATGAAAAATATCAATCAATTTTTCATTTGAGGCCATTTGAGGCTTTCATTACTCGTTCTTATTTACCAGTCCATTTCACTTTCTTGGCGGTAGGAAGAACGAGTATTGTTCTCAGTGCCCTGTCACCCTTGAACTGTTTGTAGTACTTTCATCTCAGAACACATAACACCTACAGATATGATAGTAGTACGATTGTAGAGCGGAGATGGTGGTCTTACTTAAAGCAATGAACTTTTGTTTCATGTTTAATGGTATTATTTTGAGCACTCTTATTTTGCGAGTTTTCATTCTCTCTAGATCCAACACCTTTGGCTAAACACCAAATATCAACAGCCTGATAGAAGTGAAACAGAAGATATTTTGGACATGAATTTAGATTTGCCTTGGAGAAAAGTCAAAAAAAGTTTGGTACATAGTAGTAAATTCAAAGTGAGGTTATGTAAATAAGTTTGTGTATGAGACTTATCACGTTTGCGTTCTTCCTCATCTAGGCATAGAAAGAGGCGTCCCTATGACACTATATTGACAAATCTATAATTTAAGAAGACGAACTAGAACAAACAGAAAATAACAACAGCAGTTTCTTACCTCCGCGAAGTCACACAAGCAACCAAAACCAAAAGCTCCATTTCGCAGGCAACAGTGTGTGCGCACGCAGTAGTCTCGTTGAAGGGTGTATGGTCCACATAGGTCGGCGAGAGTAAGGCGAGGGCGAGAGCAGTGTGCTAGCATGGGGTATCGCCGCTCAGGCGCTGAGGGTAGGCCACCATCTCCACACAGACACTTGGCGGGCGGGCCTACCCGACGTGCCGCAGGCGCGGTTCGTCTTGTCTCAGATTAGAAGACACACGTTTAAAGAAAAATGCTACAATTTTGTAATTCAGTAGATTGTAGCGTGCAATTTACAAAATTTCTGAGTGGTAAAAGAAACACAGTTGCGTTTCACCCGCCCCCTTTCGTTGAGTGCCGACGTCGTAGTAGTTACGCCAGCGCCGTGTCAATGAGGGATCATAGGTTCGAATACTGGGAGCTTCTCTGGTTTTCTTCCGTTACCGACTAGACTCGCGCACCACAACTCTTACACTGCAGCCAGCCTACATCGTGGTGTCGTAGCCACAGCTCGTTGAGTGTGGCACCAGAGATTCGACAGTCGGTTCGGGTAAAGCTGCTTGTGGCCTTGTCGGTTGTAGCAGCTGGTGTAGCTCCAAACAGGGGCGTTCACTGAACAAAACCCCTGCCTGTAGGCAACCGACAGAACGTCACTCTCGCCGTCAGGAGGGCTAAGGCTTTTGCAATCAAAATGTTGTCTATTTCGCCACTCTTTGAACCTCGGTATATCCCCGACCAGTAAACATCTACTTACCACCAAAATATTAAAAGAAGAAACGACACTCAACTGCCTTCACGATCCGTTACCCCTCTCTATTAGCTGTGTAGATGGGTATATGAGCTTTGCCTCGGCCTCGGGAAACAAACGGGAAATTTAGGCGCATTTATGAAACTATGACAGTTTATTTGACAAGAAGGTACTTCAGCACCGCGCATAAGTCTACGACAAAAACTATAGCAAATGATAAAAAGTGACTTTTTCAACAAAACAAAATGCTAAAATGGCTTGATAACAGGTGCAATATGAGTGTTTTGGCAGTTGGATGAGGACATTAACATACACTTTTAAAAAGACATAACTTATTATTTACACTTACACTATCTCTACAACTTAAAATTTACCGCCACGTTCCAAAATCATATTTTTCAACAATACTGAGGTGGATATAATTGCAACAATGGTTGATAGACACTCGAGGAACTATCTTAAATTTATTTTCATCCCCCACTTCTGAATTAACAATCAACAACTTGGTATCCCCGTGTAACGGAAAATATATCTCGTGGCACACTAGTAACAATCCCGCAGACGTTAAAAATAAGTGCTGAAACTAATTTGAAAATGAAGGCAGAAAACGTCAAACTTAAGGGCCCGCGCGTTACAAAGAACCATGGCCAAGTTCAAATGAAAATTACAAGCACGCCTTGCCTTGCCATTCATCAAGTCCCGGGTAAGGGATAGGCTAGGCCATGTCTCAGAGAGACACGTAACTTCGAGCTTTCGACTTGGCTTTCGATCGCGTCGCTCGGCCTCCTCTCTGAGGAGAGCGCGCCCTTTATTCTTTTGCCAGGCAAAACATTTCATTCGGCTTTCGCTGTGCGATAGTGCCTCAGACTGACGCAACCGCCGCGCCAGCTGTGGCGGCTTCCCTCCGCAGTAGGATCAAATGGTCTGATGTCACTTGGCAAGGACGCCGCTCGCAGGCGCCTCTCGCCCTCGAAAAAGCGAAACCGAAAAGACTGACAAAAGTAAGAAATCTGCACTTCCATTCAAGAGCACCTATAAGGACACTGGTATGATGCCTTTATATAGACTAGACAAGGTAATTATTGTCTAGTATCTGCGTGGTAAGCGCGGTTTGACCAGAAATGTATTTATAGACTGCGCTGGTAACAAAAAGACGAAGACAGTTGCTTCCCTGAGTTGAACTACTTCGTAAACACGAAGACTTCAACAGTCGACTAGCGAGACCGAACAGACTAAAACAAACGGGTTTCTTCCAAAAGCTCCCAATGTTAACTCTTACAATATAGAACACTGAAACAATAATTTTCTAGACATCGGGTAAAAATTAACAAGTCAGTAGGCGCCTGTTAGACATGTACTTATGACATTGAAAAGACTGATGTCAACAATTGCGCCGAAGGTATTATCGAACTCGAAAACCCCATAGTTATGCAATTACATTTTGTACTCATTTTTGTTGGTGCTGTACATATTATGTGACTCGCACCTCATCACTACAATCATTACACTACATGGAAAATCCTATCAGAAGATAGAAGGGATGTAGATTAGATACAAAATATCCGAGCAACAGAGCAGTGGCCAGTACAGTAATTCGGACAGTTCAGTAGGGCACAATCCAAACATGTATTTGGTGATTCTAGGTACTGTTAAAACTTTTAATTGGGATTTGGGGGGAGGCCTCTTAAAATATTTTGAAGAGTGCACAGCGCATCAAGGTCAACGTAAGAAAAAATACCGAAAGAGATTAACGTTATCACACACTATTTAGCTGAGCATCCACAAGCAAAAATCACCTGCATCAATATTTAAAACTAACATCACTTTGTACAGGAATGTTTTGTAAGAGTTACTGAAATCCCTGTGTAAAACGTGTTTAAGATTGGACCGCATTTGAGAGCGCTCCTGAGCTTTGGACACGATGTTAGATATTACCAAAATATAAACAACAACCGAACACACAAACAAAAAGGACAGACACAAGACGGTCTGATGGTGGGACAGGTTTGGGCCGCGGCTCGGGTCGCTCAGCTCCCCGCATCGGCCGAATGTTGTTGGTGTTGTCGTTTTTTTTTTCTTTCCAATTTGGCAGGGGTAGTTGTATTTGCCGGCCGAACCGCCATCACAGACAATCATCATAGAGACATACATATAAAAGTTTACATTAAATTACATGGTGACAGAGCCTCCCTCCAGTGAGAAACATCCCACGTCGATGCGATGTCGGTCAGACATCGAAAGTCGAAATGACGTCGACATTTAGACCACAGCGGGCGTACAAACCAGTATGAAATGACATTTTGAACGATATCAATGGGAAAACGAAACGAGGTCCTAAGTGCCGCGCTGAAATCGAAACGACGCGAGGTAAAGACGACTGTGACATCGTTTCGACATCTTTTCGATGTCCTCCCGAAATCCATTTCTGACTGGGGGTTGATGGACATGCATTCGACGTCTAGCGGCAAAGGCTTCTCACTGGGCCTCCAGGGCACGCCCCCTCCTCCGGGAGCAGGCGGTGGTGGTCGCGGCAGCGGAGTCCACGGCGTCTCACAACGTCCTCGCGCACTCACACTGAACAAGTCTTGGCTCTGGGTCCCCTAACGGCCCCGCCCGCGGCCCCCTCACCCCCGGGGTCATACCCCCAGGTCCATGTCGGGGCCGACGAGACAGTCTTCCACGGAGATGTCGTCCGGGTCGCTGACGCCGTCCGGCGACGACAGGTGTGCGGAGAGCATGGGGTCCCCCGTGACGGGGTGGTCGTCCTCCATCAGGTCGTCCAGGGCCGCGGAGCTCAGCGTGATCGCGGCCTCCGTCACCACGTCGGGCATCTGGAAGGTAAAGCGTAAAAGTGTAAAGCCACACACTGTCAAAAATATCTGCGTAAATTTACGACATTCGCTGTGATTTTTATGTACAGGAAATATGTTGTTGATTTGCTATAGCCTTATTCTTGTCGATCAGTCGAAAGTCCATACGAAGTGCTTGTAAATTTACAATTTATAATTGCAATTTTACGACACACATATGCAGGGAAAATTTTCCCGTAACCTACGACTATAGTCGTACTTTCAAAAGTAGATGGGATAATTTTAACGTGCAAAGCACACACCTTGTGCAGATGAGACGAGTCCTGCAGGTACGAGGTGGGGGTGGACTGCCAGCTGCAGTCGCTGTACTGCAGGCCGTGGCTTCTCGCGAGGTTCTCCAGTTCCTAAAAAAAAAGAAGAGAAGAGTGTGAGGATCGTGACCGGTGGAAACTGGTGGTGCGTGGAGGACTTCCCCGCGGGCGTCCGCGCGGGGTATCGACGCTGCCCGCCGCGGGCGCGGGGTATATCGATCCACCTACCTGGACTCGGTGAGCCAGCCTTCTGTTTTGGGTCTCCAGCAGCTTCTGCCGCGTCTCGGACTGCTTGAGACGCTGCACCTCGTGCTTCAGGACCTTGATGTAGTCCACCGAGGACTTGAGGATGGTGCCCTTGTTGGGCCGCAGGTCGCGCACCACCTCGTAGTACCTGCAGGCAACACGCGTGTAAGTAAAGAGAAGGTGTGAGCGTCCTCGGGCCGACCGACGGGGACCTGGGCGATGAGGGAGAATGTGCAAATAGTGAAAAATGAGTACGAACTACGAAAGATAATTGGCGAAACTAAAAGCTGACGTACTTTCGGTAACAAAACAGACAAATGTTCATATGAAAATCGTATTGAAACTTACGGGTCGTTGGTCCTCGGCAGGAGCGTCCCTAACTCCTTTATGCGGTCGTTTATGTTGAACCTCCGCCGGCGCTCGACTGTGGGGGAAAAGAAAATAAGTTAGCGAGGCGTCAGATTCACGTATTCGAAATTGGAGCGCGCGGTGGGCGCGCGGCGCGCCAAGGCTAGGTACGTTTCGGTTCCCACTGCGCGGAAGGGGGTAACGGGGGGGATTCTCCCAGCGCCGTCGTGTAAGTTTGAGGCCAGAGGAAGCAGTTTGAGAGCGTTTTTCCGCTTGCAGTGCAGTCCCCGGCCGGGCCGGCCGCGGTGGGCCCGGACCGCCGGGCGGCTCCGGGCGGCCACACGCTGCACGGGGACTCACCGCGGAAACGTCTGTCATGTCCAGCAGACAGCCAAATTGCTGCCGCACATTGTCGCAGGAGCAGCAATACACTCAAGGTTAATATCGAAAATAAACACTTTCCTCTCTAGTTGCAAATCAGAGAAATTTTATGTCGAGTCACTGTTTGGCGAGCGAACGATGTGCGCCCATGTGCGCTATACGCTAGACGCGAGTTTTTCGGTCGGGTGCTCGGTCGGGTGCGCGCGAGGGCGAAGGGATTGGTCATTCCTCGTACACACGCCATGACACACAAAACTCCCTATGATTGGCTAGTAATGGGATGGGAGATGGGAGGCATTTAAAAATACTGCTTCGTATGGAAATACGGAGGAAACAAAGAGTGTTTTTTTTATGATTAGTCGTGAATAGTACACAAGTAGTTAGTTATTGGAACCCGTGGATGAGGAGGGGGGGGGGATGCCTTTGACGGTGACTTTACGTACTCATGTTGTGGTTGTCCTTCTTCTGCCGGTCCTTGGCGATGGCGTTGATCTCCGCGTCGCTGAGGTGCTGCGGCTCCTGCTTGACCGACGAGAGCGGCACGTCGGAGAGGGAGAGGTCCATGTCCGGGCAGGAGCCAGGCCTCCGCAGCCCCAGCAGGCTGTACACGCTGTCCGTGTCATCCTGGTCGACAAGTGCACGATCAAGCCAGGCAATCTCGCGTTTTGCTTTGGTGTTGGGAAAACTTTTAGACTCTTTTCGTTATGGTTTAAATATGCCATGCTGAACAGGTTTGCGGTTGCTGTACCTGCAGGTCCAGAGAAAGGTCGGCAGCGCTGTCAGCGAGTTTAATCTTCTCCTCTAGGGTCGCCGCATCGCAGGACAGAAAATCGTCCAGGACGTCCACGTCAGCCTGGAACAAAGCAAACATTTCATAAGCAAAACCCTTTTTCCGAGCATCATACGTTCCAATACGTGCGGTTTGGTTTGTGATACATGCGGTAGACATTAAACCTTTCGAGAGAGTCGGGGCCGT